TGTGTAATACAATTTAGATCTTTGTAAGAAACATTTATTAACTATTGCCAATGAAATAGCTGGATTCTGGTCACAGGATTTAATCTGTAGAAGCGGTTGCTTATTATTTACTGAAAACAAACTACACAAAATGATTGATTTATTAAATCTAAATGAAAAATGGATTCCTCTAATTTTAAATTGAATAAGGAAAGTTGTTGGAGTTCCCTGTTGGGAAGTTTCCAAATGGATGGTAGCTAAAAAGAAGATGAACAAATAGAGAATTTATCAATTCAGAAACATAAGATATTGACAAAAATCATTAACAGGATTAGCCCACTCCATTTTAAAGTTTCAAAATGCAGGCCAATATTTTTTTTGGAACTAGTCAGAAACGTAGCTGTCTATATTGACAACTTTTCTATATTGAATAGGCTTACAGCATTGATACTGAAACAGAGAGCCCAATTGTAGACTTTAACTGATCAATCCATAGGAAGTAACCTCAAGCGTCCTGCTAAAAAAAAAAAAAAAAAAAAAAAAAAAAAAAAAAAAAAAAAAAAAAAAAACTTCAAGATGTTGAAATGTTATTAGAAAAACTGAAAGGAAAATACCAGATTAGAATGGTACCAAAACATGATCAAAACTCCTGGCCTTCTAGAACCAGCTAATTTTTGTGAATGTGTCGAAGCATTTGAAGATCTTGACAGAGGTCTAGTGGTGTTATCGGTTTGATTTTGAATATTTAAGATTTTTTAAATTTATTTAAATGCAAATGTTGAATTTAACATTTTTATTTTCTATTATCATTTTTTAAATATGTGTAAATATTATATTATATATAATATTAGTTAAGACTGATTCTAAAATCAAACCTATGATCTCTAAAGTTCATAGGTGAATTAGTTATGAAGCAATACCTTTGGAGTCATTAGCATTAAAAATGGACATCTGCAACCATGTTTGCTTCAAAAACATGGAATTGTAAATATTAGTTTAAAAAATGGATCCAGGGTAGCTAAGTATGTGAGCACTGATTTCCAGATCATCAGCCATGGATCAACCCTAGGGTCGAGTGACCCTCCTGGGGCATACTCAGCCTCTATAAATTGAGTACTCTTGATTAAATAATTAATTAAGGAGTAAAACCTGACAGTTGAGCGTGATCTCGACCCGATCACCTCCCTGCACCACCGTTGGCCTTGTAACAGTTGCCTTTATTGCCTGTTGCCCTTCATGAGCTGTAGTGGTACAGGTTTTTTGTTTTTTAATTTTCAAAAAAGGGGCATATGTATTTTCAAAACTGAATTTGATTTACTTATAAGACGAAAAAAAAAAAAAAAAAATGGACGGAACTCTTTTAAATTGAAGCCTTATAATGAAAATTGGTCATTTTTCTGAAAATGACAGATGTCTGTCTTTGATATGAGGCCACTCAGATATATTTAAGTTTATTATAAATATAAAGAGTCTAAATGTATACAATTTATTCTTATTTTGGTAATATTTTACAAGCATCGTGTCTGGGTGACAGATGGTTTACAACGCATCGATCATTCTATAAATGGAATTTTGAAATTAACCGAGTGTACTTGTATAATAGCGGGTAGTGTCAAAATCTCCCTTGTTATCTAATCTTATTTCACATAACCTCCCTTATCTCCTCTACTTTATGTTATCCCCTTGTTTATTTTTTATTCCTTGTGTAAGCTGTAAGTTAGTCTTCTTTCAAGACTCCTGGATATTTGCAAAAGTTAAATATTGTGATTAAAGTCATCAAATGAAGTTTGACAGGAAGATTAAATGGAGATGCTTTCGTAGTTGTAACAAAACCGTTTCTATAAGGAAAGGAACGTGGTTAGAGGGGTCGAGGATTTATTTTTTAACGGCTTTAAAATTAATATGTGTATAAATGCTGTTTAAGTGTTTTTTTTTTATTATTTCATTTATTTTTGCCTATTTTTATTATTTCATTTATTTTTTTGCCTATTTTTATTATTTCATTCATTTTTGCCTATTTTTATTATTTCATTTATTTTTATATATGTTTCAATGTTTTCGTAATGTTTTTTAATTATATATGTATAATGTTTTGGTCTATTTAATATATATCTTGTAAAATAAAAGTATTTTTTTATTATTACATTTGTTTTTGTTCACAATATCAATACAAAACAATAAATATGAATACTAAGATATAATAATATGAATATCAATAAAATGAACATAATATGAAACTGATGATAGAATCAGTGGCTTATCAGAGTTATCAGTGTTAAGGTTATAAAAATTGGCAGATAGCAGTCGGACGCTACCTGCTATTATACAAGTACCTAACCGAGTATTGAAAACTTCACAGATGAGCTGGCTGTGGTCGTCCAAAAGATAAACAAACACTCAGGAGGGCTTTTTCAGTTGAGGTCACACCAATGTGATTATGTTTACACTTACTCCTGGACACAATCGGCTTATTAAGGGATTATGTACATATACTTCATATTTCTCAACTTTTTTCTTAGGATCTTGAGGTTATAACATAACTATAAAGCTTGGTAAGCACTAGAATGGGTGATCCATCCACTTGGGAAAGTCAAGCAGTCTGAAATTATTTTGACTGTTATCCTTCCCTTGGATAAGCTATTGGATCAGCCTCCTGCAAGCAGCTCACACCGACTGATCATGGAAGTGATGACGATGACCTTACTCCGTGTCCCTTATTTGGGAATCAAGGATGTCACTTATTGTTTTGAGGTTTGGTCCATGGAAGGTCTATTTCAGGAAAAGATATAAAGGTCGTAATGCATTTGCTGACCCTGAACATCCATAATTTATGCACCATGCTTTATAGCAATGTGTCACCGACTGAACCCCTTCCACCTCCAGGCTATCTGTACCCTAAGCAATATTTCTGTAAGACTGGGCCGAAATGAGGGAAGGGCAAAGGAGGTGTTTGCTTATTTTAATTTTTTTCAGATCTGGGATACTGCTGGTCAAGAAAGGTTCAGAAGTTTGAGAACACCATTTTATCGGGGTTCTGATATATGTATGCTGACCTTTGCTGTTGATGATAAAACAAGCTTTAACAATCTAAAAATATGGCGGAACGAGTTTTTATATTATGCCGATATAAAAGATGGAAACTTATTTCCATTTATAGTTGTTGCTAATAAGGTAAGGATGTATCATGAATATAATATAAGTTTTGGACCATGTTTAAAAGTAATGCTTTCATAAGCAAATTTTTATATACTAGCTTAAATAGTTTCCTGTGAAGAGGTTTCCTCCTATTAATATGGGAGATATTAACTACTAATACTTCTACTCCTTTAAATTCAAAGTGGGTGGGAGATGGAGCTAGGAATTGAGCATGGATGCTGGCTTGATTGAATTTATTTTTCTATAGACCATGTCTGTGAACATTTTGTCAACAAACAGAAAATAGTTATCAAAGCAAGAAATTAAATCAACACCCTTCGTCGATTGTAGTGCTTAATGTTTGTTCATTAATTTTACTAAAAATAAGTGCAACTTTATCTATCCTTAAGAAAACTATAAAAGTATGGGATACATATAAGAATCTATTTAAAACATTCAGCCATTTTTACAATAAAATTGTTTTGTTTGATTGTTAATTGCCTTCCTTCTTAGATGGATTATAGTTCGTAGTACACTTATTTATAATTAAACTAATTTAGATTGTAATCCTAAAAACTTACTATTTTTTTTTTTAGTTAAATTTTTTAATGTCTGAATTACACTATTAATAGGATCAATTTATACCTAACTAATCCAAGAATTAGTTTTCTAGGTGAAAAAATACCATCAAAGGGTTGTGTGGAACAAAGGCTATTTTGACATATCATGGCTTCACCAAATGGTTATATGCTTTTACGCCCTACTACAGGCTCCCTGAATGAATTTAGAGGATTAAACTTTTTTGTCTAACTGATCTTGAATATTTAATTGTTGACCGTTGCATTATATAGAAAGGAGATGGTCCGGGGTGGCTGTCATAAATAGGCTAATAGTGGTAAAACTATTTTATTCAAAGCCAACGTTTCAACCCGACTTTGAAGATCTTCTTCAGGGCTAGAACGGACAAGATACAAAAAGATAGAGAATTGTGGAAGTTACATAATATTTAGACAAAAAATTATAAACAATATGAATAAGCTTATTAAAATTATAAACAGTAAGTACATTAACATATGAACAGAGTAAGCTAAGTAACAAGATCCTAAACTGAAGTAAATAGATGCTAACAATTGTTGTAGTGTAAAATATAATAAATGCAAATGTGAATATACTTCTACAGATCTACAGGAGAGATTGATGAAAGAAAAGGAAAAAGGATATAGTATGAAATTATAGACATAAAGGAATGTGGAGAAAGAAAAGAATACCAAAAAATTAAATAAATAAGTAAATAAAATTAGAGACTTACAGGTGTGTTCAGCTAGGAGTTTCACTTAGAACTGGAAAACCAGGGTAAGGGCAGGTAGGTATTGGGGAAGCTGAGTTGTTTGGGTAATGAGAAAAAAACTAGAAAATTACAGTATCTACAATTTGAAGATATGGATGGATACTAGGGAAAAATACTATATATATATATATATATATATATATATATATATATATATATATATATATATATATATATATATATATATATATATATATATATATATATATGTATACATACATGTATATACTTGTAATTTAATATTTCATAGATATAGATATATAGGATTTTTTCATGTTTTTATCTAAAAATATTTCTGCTTTGGATTGGTCTATTGTTTTTAATGAATAAATAGGTAATCTTTTTGTTTGTTTTCAATTAGGAATGTTAATATAGAGGACAAGAACCTGTAATCCTTAATTCAATGAAATGATTCTAGATTCTAATGTTTACTTTCTATGGAATCAAAATGTATATTCAGTATCATTAGTTCAGTGCCATTTCTTGCAGCACATTTCTTAGTCTCCGGTTTTTAATTTTTTCAATATTAAGTTTAAAAATGCCTCTTAGTGCTGAGGATGTTGCACGTGGTGTGGCACTTATTGATGATGGACGTTCCATTAGATATGCAGCTAATGCCATAGGAGTTCCATATGAAACTTTACGAGACGCCGGCAGGCGTTGTCGAGAAACTGGTTCTTACAATAGTTGGCCCGGTTCTGGAAGGCCTATATGGGATGACCGGTTTTTGACTTTGAGAATTTTACGAAACCTGCACCTTACCGTTGTTCAAGCGACTCATCAGCTCGAAGAAGTTCGAGGTGTGCAAATTTCTGAACGTACGGCTCGGAGAAGATTAAATGAGTATGGATTAATGGCTTTTCGTCCAGTAAGAGGAGCAGAGTTGACCAGAACTCACAGAGTAACACGGCTGGCTTTTGCTCGAGAACACAGCCATTGGACTATGGACAAATAAAGTGCTGTATGTTTTAGAGATGAGTCAAGATTCACTCTTCGATCTCCAGACGGGCGTGAAAGGGTGTGGAGAAGAAGAAATGAAAGATATGCAGCCTGTAATTTTTCCAACGTGGTTCCTTAATGGAGTTCTCGAGCAGAAGCCAGCCGTGTTACTCTGTCAGTTCTGGTCAACTCTGCTCCTGTTACTGGAAGAAAAGCCATTAATCCATACTCATTAATCTTCTCCGAGAATAATCTTCAGAAATTTTTGCACACCTTGAACTTCTTCGAGCTGATGAATCGCTTGAATAACGGTAAGGTGCAGGTTTCATAAAATTCTCAAAGTCAAAAACCGGTCATCCCGTGGTTCTGTTACCCTAGGCCGTCCAGAACCGGGCCTGACGGTGTCTCATAAAGTTTCATATGGAACTCCGATGGCATTAGCTGCATATCTAATGGAACGTCCATCATCAATGAATGAGTGCCACACCACGTGCAACATCCTCAGCACTAAGAGGCATTTTTAACCTTGATATTGAAAAAATTAAAAGCTGGAGACTAAGAAATGTGCTGCAAGAAACGGCTCTGAACTAATGATACTGAAAGTAAACTTTTGATTCCATAGAAAGTAAACATTGAAATCTAGAATCATTTCATTGAAGTAAGGATTAAGGATTATTGTCCTCTATATTAACATTCCTAATTGAAAACAAACAAAAAGATTACCTATTTATTCATTAAAAACAATAGACCAATCGAAAGCAGAAATATTTTTAGATGAAAACTTGAAAAAATCAAGTGGGTGGAATTTTTTGCCTGTTAGTGTATATATATAAAACAGAATTAAGAGATTATAGATAAGAGTACAATGTGAATAAAAACAAAAATGGAAGAAGTGAAATAGAAATAACTTCATTTACATACATACATTGCAGAACTAACTTAGAAGTATAGAGAGGGGAAAAAAATTAATAATTATAATTGTATTTCGTTGTATATATGTAAGAAAATTACATTTGAATATTAGATAATATTGAGACATGGTTAAAAAGTAAAATGAATACAAAGTGAAAAAGGATGATCATAAATTGATGTAGAATGTAAATATAAAATTAAAATAAAATAAAAGAGAGATCATACAAAGCGGAAGTACTTAGAATAATGAACAATTAAATTGAATTAATCAATAAAAATTGAAAGTAGATAAAAATAAAAATAACATAATGTAACATATAAGTATATATAAGTTATTTAAAATGTGTCCATATGTTAAAGAAATACAGTTTTTATCTACTTTATGAATAACAGGATTCTGTTCCATGTGAATGTGGATCGATTCGGAAATGAGGCTTTTTTCATGGTTAGAGACCATGGCAAGGATAGAGGTTTTTCAAAGTCAAATGAGTGGTTCAGGGTTAAGGCATGTTCCGATAGTTTGGAGGCGGAAGGGTTCCGGGAAGTTATGGATGTTTTATGTTGGGAAATGCGGGTTTTGAGATGGTTTTTGGTTTCACCAATATAGGAGCTATTACAATTAGGAGTAGAGCAAGGTGTCTGGTAAACTATATTAGATCGGTGTTGTAAAAGTATGGGATCCTTAAAGTTGGTGAAAAGGAAAGAAAGTTTGTTATGGGACTTAAGGCCAAGATGTAAGTTGGTTATAGTCGATTTAAAGAATTTTTGTATATTATCTGAGAGAATAGGAATATAGGGGAGAGTTTGTATATGAAAGGAGTGGTAGATGATTGTGGGTAGTTGGTAGAAGGGGAGGTTGTACTCTTTTTGAGTTGAGTAGTCTGGCCTTAGTATGTAGGTTTAGTGTACCAGTCAGTAGAAACATAGCCATCAGTGTTTCTTATTATTAAGAGGTCTAAGAAGGGAAGTGAATTTAACTTCTTTCTCTATAGTGAAACGGAGATGGGGGTGGTAAGATTGAATGAGGAAAGAATTTGAGGGTATCAGGGGTAAGAACAAGGAGGAGGTCATCAACATATTTTTTGATGAAAATGATGTCTTGATGGAAAGAAGGGAAACAGAGTCTGGAAGGTCATTGAGAACAATATTGGAAATATCTGATGCTAAAGAATTTCCCATGGCTAGGCCTGAAATCTGATTACAGAATTTTCCTTGGAAGGTGAGGAATCCGGATCTGCAACAAAGCTCAAGGGATTCAAGGTATGAGGAGAGGTTAAGGGTGGTGTGAGGTTTGATGATTGTCCAGTTTTTCTGCACAATGTGGAGGGCTAAATTGAATTAGTGTTAGTGAAATGATTTTTTGGGATTTCTTCTACTGTTAAAGTAGTAACGCTAGTACTACTTCTACACCCTCCATTTTTGGCATGTTTTTTCCTCTTTACTTAGGTTTTGAACATCTCTACCTACATAGCCAATCTGAATTGGATTACAGGGTTGAAAATTTGTTATGGAGAAGTGCCTTCTGGGAATCTCAATAATTGTCTTGCGATCCTGCCATTTTTATAAATTAATTTAGGAAACAAATTATAAAATATTCAGAAACAAACCATGAGAAAGAAATGTAGCAGTTCAATTAATTTTAAAATTCTATTTAATTTCCTCAGGTGAGCTTTTTTGAAGGAATTAAATCACTGTTGATCTACTTTCAAACCAAAAATTGAAAAAAAAACTTTTGACAGGGCTTTGCTGCTAAGAATTTTTTTTTCCTTTGCAGCTTGATATCGAATCAAGGGAAGTGAGTGAGGAAGAAGCTAGAAATTGGTGTAAAGAAAATGGAGACATGCCTTACATTGAGACAAGTGCTAGGGATGCTATCAATGTCGATGGTGCATTCAGTACTGCAGTCGATATTTGGTTGAATCTGGAAGAGGCCATGGACAGGTGTGCCAACTACGGAGAAGGAACTATCAAACTGAACATGTTTCAGAACAAGAAGGTGCTGTGTTGCCGAGGCGCTGTGTAGCATCTCATTTCCAAATATGTCTTAAGAAATTATTGTTTTGCTAATGATAAGTAATGGTAAGGTTTGAAAATGTGAGATTATTGTGATACATTTGTTAGTCACTAGTAGTTGTTATCAATTTAGTTTATCTCTTTTGAAATGTATAAATGTAATATACAAAAATGTTGGCAATGATTGTTATGAGATTATAAAGAACATCTAAAGGAACCAATTGTAGATGAATTGTTGAAAATAAGATTACTGACTTCGGGTGTGTATTTTATCATTCTTTACTATTGCTCGATAAAATTGAAAATAACTTTAAGGGGCTCAGGATTGTTACTCGGAAATTATGACATAATAGTTAATTGTTGATACTCTGCTCATCGTAACTTCATATTTTTTATGTTATTGATACTGTTCTTATCCTAACCTCATATTTTTTATGTTGTTGATAATGTATTCATCCTAAGTTCATATTTTATATGTTGTTGATACTCTACTCGTTCTAACTTCATATTTTGTATGTTGTTGATAATGTACTCATACTAACTTCATCTTTTGTATGTTGTTAATACTGTACCCATTCTAGCTTCATATTTTGTATGTTGTCAATAGTGTACTCATTATAACTTCATATTTTGTATATTGTTTATACTCTGCTCATAGTAACATCATATTTCGTATGTTACTTATACTCTACTCATCTTAACTTCATATTTTTTATGTTGTTGATAATGTATTCATCCTAAGTTCATTTTTTATATGTTGTTGATACTCTACTCATTCTAACTTCATATTTTGTATTTTGTTGATACTGTATTAATCATAACTCCATATTTTAGATAACTTATACATTCTAACTTCATAATTCTTTTTTTTTTTTTTTTCATCTCTTTATTATTCACCCGTATTTATTTTAGTAACTTGAGTTTGCCTTTCACACTTGATTACTTTTTTTTTGGATTATGTTTACAATAAATAAGACAAATTTAAACTGAAAATTCTACTGTCATGCTAAGAAAGAAATTGTGAGATTTTAATCCAATGGGTACTGTAATTACTTTTTCACATCAAATATGTTTTATTCTTCTTATTTAATTACTGGCTATCCTGGAGAAGTGAAGGAATTGTATGTAAAACAGCTCAAGTCAGGGAATTTATCGGTTTCATATTAGAATCGGTTACCAAAAATTTACATTATAGTGATATTGTCGGCACCATGTTCAGGTAACGAATGTGAGCCTGTTTAACATTGCACATTCATGCCAACATTGTTCCGATAATATATACACACAACACATACTAATTTAAGTATGAAATATCAACAATTACAATTTTTCATGATAAATAATTATTTTATTTTTTCAGAAATATATTTTTGTTTCTAATTATTTAAAAAAAAAGTATTTATCAAGAAAACGGTACTTTATCAATAAAGGAAATTGGTTGTTTTTAAATATTTTTATGTCAACAAATTTTAAAAGTCAGTTTTCTAGATGTTATTTGTCTAAATTTTGTTGTCAAATTTGACATTTTTATTTATATGCATGAAAGGGTATTTAATTTTTTATGTGGATTATTATTATTACCATGGCACTGTGGTCCTGCATGAACCTGGGCCTCCTCCAATACAACTAACCAATATTTACAATCTTCTGCTTTCTCCCTCCATCTTTTAACACCCTGCTGTCCCAGATTGTCCTTTACATCCTCCAGCCATCTGATCTGAGGACGCCCTCTACTTCTCTTGCTATCTGGTTTCCCATAAAGCATCCTCTTTGGCATTCTTTGATTTGGGTTCGATTGATTGATTGCTTCTATTCACATACCCTATCCATCTTATTCAAGCACTTTTTACCAATGCCATAATGTTGGGTTTCCCAAACAGTTCCAGCAGCTCCTCATTCCTTCTCAATCCCATTCTTATTGACTTTGTCCCAAATTCTTATATGTATTTCTGATATTATATATATATATATATATACAGGTGATTTAAGTGAAATTTCATACTTATTCACTAATTCAGTGACTCACAAGAAGTTGAAATAACAATTTTTTTGGTTCCAACTGTATTCAAGGACATATCCCTCAAAGGTAATATTATTTTAAGACAAAAAAGGTGTTATGGATAATTTATGTCACTGGAGAACTTAGATTTGGAAAGTTCTCCTTTTGATGTATGCATGTGTTAAAATTTTCAATATGGCTGCTTTTACTTAATATTTTAGCTGTCAAAAGTTTTTTTTTAATGTTATGTAATATTAAGCTCACTGTTAATGTTATGTACATTAAACCAGTTTTAACTAACTGGTGATTATAAACAAACTACCTACCATCTGTGATGTTACAACTTTCCTAAGTATTTGTCTTTTTTAATTTGTTTAGCTGTTTGAATTTAAGAGGACAGTTTGGTTAGTTCTCTTCTGTGATCCTTCCTAGATTCCTCCTTTGTTGGAGATTTCCATCCCTCCTTGACATAATCAATGTAAGGTTTGATTTGCTTAAGTTTTTTACCATGTTCTCAGTGGTCTTCCAATTCAGCGACAGACCAAACCACTTTAATTGGTGAGATTCTAGAATATCTTTCATCCATAGTCAAATTAAAGATATATTTATATTAGTATTAATTTTTTGTTATAATCTGTGGTTATTATACTAGTGAGTTGGTTTTATTATTTTGATGTATTGGTTTACTATATATTTGCTTTCATTTGCCTTGAGAAATATTTGATATAAAATTGCTATTTACTATAAGTAACAATGGTGATAGTGACAGATTGTAAAGGAATCAGTGGCCATTCCTTACCCTAGTGAGATCAAAAATATAACATATTTTTGACTTTATGAAAATTCTTAGTTTTTATTATTATTAATTTATCATTGCTCGGTAATCAATACTTTTTTTTTAATATTGTCAGTTGAGTTTTTCATACCTGTTGGATGTATGATATTTATATAGTTTAAAATATTATCTTAAAAAAACATGTAAATTTAGAGGCTACTAACAAATGTAATTTTCTGTATATGATTATATTTATAGTGTTGATTCTTCTTGAAATCATCAGCCCTATTTTTCTGATAATTTATTTTTTATGGTCATTTGCAAGTTACCCTTGTAAAGATTTAGATTAATTACTAATATTTATCATATTTTGAAAAATATCAGCTGAATTACATTAGTTATCTAATTATTAACTATTTAAATTGATTATTATATGTATTACTGATTCTATTCAATCAGAATTAGCATTTGTTTAAATGCTATAAAATTAAGAAATATCCTTATGGACATAATAACAATGAAAACTTGACGCAGAATCAATTGCAACATTATGTAGAAGGATTCTATTTTTTTAAAATATTGTACTTAATTGTGTTATTTTTTCATTCTCAAATTACAAATGTTTCCTTTACTTTTATCTTGAAAATACACTAAGAGTTATGAAATATTAGGATTAGGTGACAATATTTCAGCCATCCATAGAGATACAAATGATGAGCTAACCATCTCTACTAATTTTCAAAAGCTAGCCATAGAGATACAAACTGTTAGTTAAATGATCTCTAAGTATTCTTTTTCTCCTTCAATGACTGGTATGAATGATTGCTGGTGCTTCCTCCTTCCTATTTCTTATTCTTGAGAGCACATTCCAGATTATTGTAAATTAATATTACACTAATTATTATCTTTGTTGTACTGATTTATGCCAAAAGACAGCTTAGAATTTTTTTTTCACAAAATATTGTTCTTCTTATTCACTACATGAATGTTGAAATTCTATTTGTCAAATCACTAATATACATCGAGTCATTGTTTGTATAATTATATTGTTTTATTTGATTTGAGCAACTCGGTGAGTGATAGGAGGGGAGGATAGAATTGATTTTTTTTTCTCATTACCATAGGTCTAAAATATAATAAGTAAAACTGGTAACATAATCCAAGATAAACGGATAGCTTCTATTTGTTTGGATTTTTGCCAAACTGAAATGCGGTTAAAACTTGTTGATATTGTCTCAATACTCTATAAGTTATTATCATACGGTACTCTTTAACTTGTTCATTAAATATGATATATAAGTGCGAGCTCTGTATCAATCATTATATTTATATTATTTTAGTCCAAAAATATAAGTGCGAGCTCTGTATCAATCATTATATTTATATTATTTTAGTCCAAAAATAGTGTTTTATCTGTTTTTGTGATTCTATATTTTAGTGACAGGGCATAAACATTTTCTTTTTTTTTGTTTAATAGTTTTACTCTACTTAAAATTATACAATCAAGACTGTGTCGAAGACATTCCTTTTAGAAACAAACTGCCTTAAGCTGCCTTTTATTTTCTTTCTATTACAGATAATTTGTAAATTCACTATAAAATAAATTGTTATTTGTTTATCAATCTGCAAAAATATCATTTCCTAATTTTCCTCATTATATTATTGTTGAATTATTTCAATTGAAGTTTATACTTCATCTCACTTGAAAATTTCTATGGAGTAATTCCTGATAAATATTTAGAAAACAATAGCCTATAAAATATAGGCTTTTCCGTATTATCTTAAAGGTAAGTGGTGACACAATATGCTCTTTGCTAAGGCTATCTCAGGCATCAGGTGTGGGAACAACTCCAGGACTGTCAATGTATCCTAGGGAATATCTATAGGGTAGAAGAAGCACATGTTTTAATTGACTCACAATGGGATGAGGATGTAACTCATCAATCAATAAGCAATGATGGTGCCTCACATCTTGTGAGTGAATGTAATATTATCAGTGGATATTTTAAGTCATATAGACTTCTTTAAACAATTTGTAAATCTAGATATTTTTATCTTTTTTTTTCTTAAATATTTTTGGAAACTAAGTTTTTATAGGCCATTTTTAAAAAAAATTCAAAAGTCTTTCTTATAACTAGGTTTTGATTTCCATTTGTTTTATGGAGGTTTAACACCTTATGTATTCTATAAAAAAAGTAACCACTTTACCACTAAAGAGGTAGTCACTTAAGGATCCACAACTGTCCAATTAACTGATTATCTTTACCTCAGCTTTAATGTTGTTTGACAGAAAAGTATGTCTGCCATTTTACCTTGTTTTGAAAATTTTCATTGAAAACTAAACATTTTTTATGTAGATTGTAGAACATTCAACATCAGATTTGATGTTGAACGTTCCTCATAAAAAACTTAAAGTTATATACATTTGTAGCAATTAGTAAGATGGGTAATATGAGAAAAAATGAATATTAAATTACATAACTTTATTTATCCTATGTACAATATATGCTAAAATTGTAAAAACTATAGTCCATATTAAATTAGAAAAAAGACCCACTAAGATGGAGGGATGTGTTATGGCATAGTTCCTTGCTATGATACTAATGAGACCTTTAGTGACCGGGGCGACGGGAATGATGTTCGAGAGCGCCGCCAGCATATAGTGCATTCCTTCCTGAGGCCAGATGATACCTTAACCAAAACCAATAATAAAGTAAACCTCACATTAGATCAAACATTAAATAAAACATTTCAATATTTTTACCTCCGGTCATGAAGACAGTGACAGTAGCACCTATTGATGCATACGCTGTTGAAAGCTCCTTGTCAAATATTTCAGTTAGCAAAAAGGCTATAAAGACATAATTGAAAAATTATTTATTTTTTACTTTCACTTACCTATATGAATGAATGAAAACATGTATATTAAACTTTTTAAAAAATTACACAAAGTAAAATATATGTACACAAGCAACAACACATAGACAATGGAAAATTCCATCTGTCGAGGTCTGTGTGTAATTAATAATAAATATTCATCACATTTATAAATAAAATAAATGAGCAATAATATATATAGAGTATTATTATGTTTTTATACATCCATTCTAGCAATTTTCTTTTTCACTGTCTCATTTGTTTAAATAGAGTTTTAAAAAAACAAACATTAATACATCACAAATCCGATAAATAAAAAATTTAAATTCAACAATAATAATAATCATCAAATACAATATAACAATAAAACAAACGTTACAATAAATAAACACGATATTGTATCAATAGTTTACTATCTAACTAATTGAGATCTTTGCAATGTGGCGTGCTGTACATAATCGCTTAAGGTTTTCCAGTTAGAACCCTTTAAGAAACCAAATAATTCTTCTGGAAAACAGGTGCGCTGCCCAAAACATTTCTCTCTTAACTCACTGAACATATGGCATGTCCTCAAAAATCGCATGATATCCTCTTCTTACATACCGGATAGCAATCGTCCACCACTAACCATGGTTTTACACTTAAATCGATCAATTCTGTCCTATATCGAAAAATTGACCCTATAGTTACATATCAAAACTATCATTAAGATAGGGTGTAACAGTACCCACTGAAAATAGTCCTGCGTAAACAGAAAAACTTGAATGAAGACATTTTTGAAGGTTATTTTGTTTTTCTAGGTCATCTACCCTATGTCTAACAGTCAATTTTCCGCGCAGACCAGCGATATTTGCAGTATCATGATTAATTTTGCAACTATCCTCAAATTCTAACCACTTTTGGTACCAATAAACTCTCTTAGTTATCACCTCTTTCGCTAGGATATGTGGCAAACGAAAACCCGGCATCTCCAGCACTTTCAAAATATAGTCTAAATGAATTTTAAGTGTGTAGGAGTATATTGAGGCGAGACCAGTGCCAAAATATAACTAGGTGCATACCTTGGAAGACGCAGTCATTTTTTTACAAAGTATCTTTTAAACTTTTCCAAAACTTCATAGGGCTCGAAACCCCAAACCTGCCCTTTCTTATTGAATATTTAATAGTTGGCCGTTGCATTATGTTGTATTAACTCTAATGATTACCAAGATTACCAACTATATAGAGGCTGGGTCTGCCTCAGAATATGATTATTGTAATAGAATAAATAATTAACTCCATATCTGGTCTCGAACCCAGGAAAAGTGTACTGTCTGAGCTACCTCTAACCCACCCATGTAAAATTATATTATAAATAGATTATTAATATTTAAATACAAAACTATTACCAAAGCTGATTCCCACGCAGTTTACTGTGACTATAATAAACATAGCTAGTGCTACACTTCCTTCAAAGTTGTAGCCAAATATGATATAGAAGACAACCAACATTATTGTATTTTGCATTAGCATGATGACAAATTGAACAACTAAATGAGCACCGACAATCTCAAAATAAGTCATTCCTGAAACAATAATTTATTAGTCTTCAACACAATAAATTAAAATGAAACATGAAAAAAATATAATTCATTACTGACACTAACCTGCTGCTGTGTTTCTATCTAATAAGCCTAAAACTTTTTCCATCATAATGGCGCTTGTTGTGTAAATCAGCGTGAAGTAAAAAGCAAACCTGAAATGTCAAACAGACCGTAAGGAAACAAATATTTAGCCAGTGAGGCTAGGCCTCATTTCTTAGTCAGTACAATAGAGTATGTACTGTAGTACGCAGAGTATGTAACCAGCAATGAGGTTAAAAGGTTAACTCTGCTACTTTAAACTATCAATGAAACAGAATTAGTTTATGAAAAAGTACAACAAATTTATTTTATCCCAAAGTGGAATATATTATTATTTTAATGTTTTTATATTTACATTTTTTGGTTAATATAAAAAATTACAAATTAATATAAAAATAATGCTTTGGCATATTTGTAGTTTTATATTGCACTCTCCCCAAGAGCAGACCCGTCCATACATCTTACTGAGAACTCCTCATTACCACGAGCTTAGGCTTCTTCCAATTTCTAATGTCAGTATCCATATCTCATTTCCATAGGTATATAATGGTTATTAATGATTATAATTAACTTTGTTCTCCAAGCAAGATCTTTGAAGCTTAATAATACCTTGCTAACTCCAAAGTAGCAACGATTTTCTGCTGCTAATCTAGCTTCAATTTCTTTGGAAAGCACTTTTTTTTTTTTGGTGAAAAGCAATCCAAGGTATTTGAAGGCTTCACACACTGAGAAATTATGACTGCCAATAAAATTTATGATTTCCTGTTACATCATTGTTTAGCCCAATCCAAAAAATATAGATAAATGAAAGTCAAAATTAAATGTTGGTTTTCAAATTATACTTACGCACTGAGGAATCCTGGCAATGCACTTTGGTCAAATGCTGATTCTTTTAGGCCAAATAATGGATCATTATACTAGAAAAATAAATAATGTGAATTAAAATATAATATTGAATATCTTCTTAAATTGTGTGAGTTGGTTTATTTTGAAGGAAAACAGAGGTCTTATTACCAGCACCTACAAGAACAACTCTCCCTTACCTCATCAGAAAAAACCTAGGAAATGATGGATCCAAGATGTCGAAAAAGACTTGGAATTAGAAATAGGAGGACCAGAGCGCTATGCAGAGAGGACGGGTGGAACATTGTCAGGGAAACCAAGGCCCTCCCTGTGCTGTAGAGATTTTCAGTAAATAAGAAAGATTACAATGCCAAGATTGATTGAGAAATCCAATTTAGATCTATTGTCCGAGAGAACCATTCAAAGTATCCATGAAACTAGGAGTGACAATGGAGTGAGATGAATCAGTCTGGCAGCAGCAAAGGGTCTAGAGGTCTACAGTACAATGTTCCCAGAAAGATCCACAAATACAGCTCAGTGAGCTCTAAAGGTGCGAAAAGGAAAACCATCCTCGTGCTGATAGATAAAGGCATCAAAGCTCCTTACAAGTCATAAGAAGCTATTTTCAAGCAGGCTGTGAGTTAGACCACACTCTGATCAGAACCAAACTCTGTCAGAACTTGAAGCCATCAAATACGGAACCAAGTGAAAAGAAAAAGGTATGAAGTTAGGAATTCGAAAAATCCAAACAGCTGTAAAATAAATTCAAACCTTTGGGTGCGGAGGATTTCACAGTGGACTAACATTGGGACACTCTAGAGTCAGGGCTAAAACAAACACCTAAGAAAGAAATAGGGTTTCAGAAAAAAAGAAAAGCTAAGTAATGATTCACAGAAGCATGCTAAAAGACAGCGAAAGAAAGAACAAAAGTAAAGGTTCTGTGGGTGATAAATAGTAATGAGGCAGTCATTTTAAGATTTTCATTGTTGCCGACATTTCAACCCAAGAATGTGGGTCATCATCGGTGCTGGTAACATGCCCTGATGAAGATCCACGTTCTTGGGTTGAAACAATAAAAATCTTAAAATTATTGCGTCCTGACTATTTATCACTCATGATCTCTAGGACAATTGATTAATTTCCTTCAATAAAGATACTCTGCTTAGTTAAAAGCTATGTCAGTGTACAATTCACTGCTACCATGAAAAACACAAAGAAAATAATAAGAGAATAACAGCAAAATTATTTGTACTATACCTACATTCCAGATTGATATATAGGTTTTTTGAACTCTGCTATTGTTTTAAAGGGACTTTAGTCCCAGAATAAAATTAATTTTCATTTCAAAAAAAGAATTTCTCAAAAAAAGATTGCAAAATATTGAGGAAATACATATGAATCCTTCACAGAAATCAGGAAAGAGTAGGTAGGATTTTTGTTTTGTTTTTTTAGTGCTTTTGTATGAATATTGATCTGTCATATGGGTGAACCATACCTCCCAGAGAAGGTAGGTTATAAAACAAGAAATATACAAATGAAGGAAACGATGTCAAAGTGATGGCATCTTAAGAGAATATTCTAAGAATCTTGAAAGAACATTTCCAGCAAATTCTCAATGCAGGGTTGTGGGCTGCCTACGAAAAAGACAAGGGTCACTGAGAACCTTGACTCACTTGAGGTTGAAAAGACAGATATTCTGGAGGTGGAAATAGCTATCAGCAGGCTTAAATGAAGGCAGGTTCCAGGGATCAACAATCTACTATCAGAACTGTTGGGGGAGTACACCTAAGAGCCAAGCTGTTATAACTAATCCAGGAAATATGGGAGGAGGAATGGATACCAGAGGCCTGGGTCGTCTGTTCTATACTTTAAGAAGAGCTCCATTTATGAATTTGATAATTACAGAGGCATAGAACTTTCTGGTTGTCAAATCATAACCTATCATTTTTTCAGACATAGATAAATTAACATTACCTGCATTGGTATTATCCTAGCCTTTTCTGACATGCCACAAGAAAGGAGAAGATTATTGTAAAAACGTTCCACGCTTTCCTTAAGGTGATTGGTCAAAATGATTTTTATTATTGCATCTGAAATAAAACAAGGCTGCAAATAATCACTTAATAGACTCACATAGATTCTGATAAATTGTAGGATAAACAATATGCGTTATCATGTAATATTACCTTTTTTTGTATATTAAGTCTAATATACAAAAAAAATAATAATAAAAAAAAAGGCATTAGAGAGCAAAAAACTCACTTGTTCCATCAATTCTACTTGTTAGTATCCCATCTTCGACTATTCTATCTTCAGTCCGTAACCCGTTTTCTATTCTATTTATGAGAGCGGTAGTAAAATTTTGGGGCACTTCGATGGAGCCCCACACTTTATTGCTGGCTATATCCCTGGCTATGTAACTGTAGTCTTTATAAAGAACCTGATTATGGAGACAGAGATTAATTATTCCTTATCTACATAAACTCATATGAATCAAGCAACTAATCTTGAAGCAACAAGTTGCTTTATTATTTCCATAAAGTTCTCAGATGTATTTAATAGCAATTTATTTGATAAGTTTTAATTATTTGAAATAAAATGAAAAGTGAAAACTTTATAACTTTATAAATTGCCTTCTGTAGTAACCTAATTGTGCAACATTCTGAGATACGTAAGGAAACTTTGAAAATAATAAATGTTGACTAGTTGGCACTTATGAATAATTTGCATAGTATATAGGTCAATTAACAAAGGAAAACATAATATTGAAATGAGTTAATGCATTGTATTATGAGAGGAAGGAAACTTATCGATATTACAGAATATACAATTCAGGATCTAGTGATGATGGAGTAGGAGGAAAGGAGATCTACAATTGACTGATTATATATTTGTTGAAGGAAGCATATCGATATGGCAGAATACACAATTCAGAATCTAGTCATCATGGAGTAGAAAGAAAGGAGATTTATAACTGACAAATAAAATATTTGATACTGTAAGTTGTAATAATTACAATATTTATATCCCTTTTATGTAGTTCATCTATGAACGGGCAGGTGAAGAGGCTTGGTAATGTACAATTAAGTGTTTCAAAGTAGCTGTCGGGTAAACCATTACAAATTCCAAGATCACCATCATATGAAATTTCTTGAGAAAGTAGTGCAATCTTTAGACTCTTGGGGTCCTTTCCCATCACCATTCCGTACAAAAAAACTATAATTAGAGGCAGGATTGCGGTTCCACTAGCTGCTCTGCAAAACATATACCATTTTAAATATCTTTTATTAATATTGTAGTTCCAATAAACTATATATGGAAAAAGATGAATAATGATATTTATTCTCTATAATCTATTCTAAGGGTAGAAGTATTCTGACGAGAATGATGGATAATGTTTAAGCGCTACTGCTAATATGGAAATGCCTCAGTAATTTTTCCATTTCTTATAAATTTGGCAAATAATTCCTACAGGCCATTCTTCATTGATACATTTAATAAAATACACCATCTAACAGAAAAAAAATTTATGAGATAGGTTTAAATTTAATCGAATAGGAATTAGAAAACATTCAAGCTTCCTATCAAAATTTAGTTTAATTTATTGACTGAATATAGTTCCTGACACTTTTGTAATTGTGTAAATTAACCACAACTTATATCCAGTTGTGAATAATAATTTCCTTATCTTAAAAATGGATGGCAAGGCGGACCCAAAAAATGAAGTTTGACCTTCCCAATCTTGTGAGAATACATAGTAATTTAATGAAAATCTTACATCGTCTAGAGATGTTGTTACTAATCTGGTTATAAAGATAACAACATAATGCAAAAAAATATATTTGTTATTTTATTAAATTATAAATTATTTTTGCTAAGAATAACTGAGGTGATATTTTGTAATTAAAAAAATAATTTTAACACAATAGACAATGTTACATGATAAGATTCAGTAACAAAATTACTCTGAAAGAATATGTGGAACCACAAATACAATCAAAATTATAGAAATAAAAACTAAGAAATATTAAATAGTATCTTAACATTACCAATGTTTTCTGGCTAGAATAACAATAACTGAGCCGAGTTCTACGTTAAGGATTTGGGTGGAAGAAGAGAAAAGGCTCTTCAAAATGTTACATTGTGTCAAATCACTTATGCTCATCAACAATCATTGTTTGTTATGAATATATTTAAATGTTATTACCAATTGAGATCGAATAATTTATAGTTATAAACCTGCATGTGATTTCCAGTAATACCTATACCTGCTAATATAATGTATTGCATGTATTATTTACCTGTTAATATAATATATGGTATGTAATATGTACCTGCTAATATAGACAATTGATTGAAATTTTCTATATATGATCACTTTTCACATGAATATTCCACCACTTTAAAAAATCATAAAGGTTTACAAAGTATTTCTATTAATGATTTTATTGCAGTTTAATAATGAGATAATGTATGATGACCAATCAGAGATATATCATCATCAGTTGACCAATTAGAGATGTATCATCTTAAGTCGACCAATCAGAGATGTATCATCATCAGTTGGCCAATCAGAGATGTATTATCATAAGTTGAAAAACCAGCGATGCATCATAAGTTTCCTATGAGCTCATCTCTACTCTTGACCTTATACTTATCATTTTGTTCTGTTAAATTTTCCACCTTTAATGGATCAGCCCAGATTCATCTCTGGTTTCGGTGTTCATTTGATCGATTGTCATATCCCATATCAAGCCTTAGGATTCACTCCCTCATTAATATTTCTGTTCTTCACAAAGTCTGGTTGGTTGACTCTTAGCTCGCAGAACGATGGTGATTTGGAATTTGATCTATCTGACACCAGTCATCCTATCTAGACATCTCATCATTCCACCAAGCCCTGTCAGTAAACATACTCAATCAATGCCTTATGATACTTCTCTCACACATAACCTCGACAAGACCATCATTTTATAAAACAATCTTCACTTGAAACTAAAAACCATTCTCTAGGCCTCTGTATAAATCACCTTGAACTCTTGATTACACTATGGGATTTTCTAAACCATCCTTTAAAACCAATTTCAAATTGACATAAACTCCTAGCGTTCTCATCCCCAAAGATGCCATAAAAGGCCTTAAAGCAATCAAGATGGGTTTGTAACTGCATTAAAAGCATTTCCGTATTTTGGTTATGTTACACACCTTTTAAGTAAGGAAACTGTCATCTCCTGAGTCAAGTACAGAAACAAAGTTCATCAATTAAAACAATTCTCCAGTTTTCATCACTATTTTCATGTTTGATTGTATCGTTTTTAATTGTCTGTTTGGAAGGGTTTGGTGTAGGATCCAACTTGTATGGTTTCTAATAGCCTGTTCAGAAAGGTTTGGTATAGGACACAACTTGTATGGTTTCTAATTGGCTGTTTGGAAGGATTTGGGGTACTTGAGTCTTAGCCCATTGCAATGGAACCTTATCTTATATCATGGAACCTCCCTTCTTCTCTTGTTATCCTTCGGTTACTTATGGTTTCTTCAATTATTTTCAGTTTTGTTTATTTTTTGTTAATTTTGTCATCTTCTGTTCATTCACTTTGGGAATCAGCGTCATCAGAAGAAAAAGCTATAAAATACTATCAGAAGTTCGGTATAATTCCAAAGGTGAAATTCTGTGAAGAAGGTCATGAAATGGAGTTTGACAGGAAGACCAAATGGAGATGTTTACCTAGTAGTTGTAGGAAAAACGTATCTATAATAAAAGAAACGTGGTAAGTGGGTTCAAGGATTACTTTCTTAACGGCTTTAAAATTTATTTATGATGTCTCATAATTTAATAACAATAAAAACAAAAAATAAAAAACATTAAGGAACTGCGAGGCAACACCTGGATTGCTATTTATCTGAATTTTTGTGGCAGCGGTCTCACAGAGAAGAGGACCCATTCCTCGCTATTTTAAATAGCATTAAGCTATTTTGTCTGCAAAAATAAATGCTAACTGTTTTGAAGGCCTTGGTGTAGGGCTCAACTCCAGTTTACTCCAAGCTTGTTATTGGATTTGTTAAGTCTACTCTCTACTGACAAATGAATAAAAATTGGCTGATTTATAATTATTAATATATTCACTTCAAGTATAATATAGCATAAAATACATATTATAAGAGCAAATACATCCTAACAAATTAGATACGACAATCATAATAGTTCAGTAATAATTCAGCAAGATAGTAGATAATATGTTCAAGGAATCCAAATACTTACAACTTATTTCGCCTCAACCATAAAACATTTTTATTTAATAACGCCATGAATCGGTATGTATCAAACCAATTGTTGTCAGGGAACAGCCTATATGATGCTTTTGAACTTTTTTTCTTTTCTTGCAAAATCTGAAAACAGCCATGAAATTATGAAGTAATCAATAAAACATAAGCCATGTTTTAAAATATAATGGTAAAAGCCTGTATTATTTCAAAAATTGGTTCGCAATTTGTGTCATCAAAAATATAATTTCAATAGTGATCTAAACAAAATGAACTATTATAATAATACTTTATCTCGTAAATCAATAGCATCTTGAAGACCATCTTGTTTTTTACAAACATCTAAGAAGATTTCTTCAAGGTTGGTGGATTGGTGAAAAGCCATCAGCTGACCTGGAGATTTCTCTACCAAGAGTTGGCCGTGCCTCATAAGCCCTATCTGAAATGTTTTAACATTAATACCTGCTACTTATGGAACAACTCTTTAATACTAATAGCAGTTAATTATAGAACGACTTTTTAACATTAATAACAGCTACTTATAGAACAAATCTTTATAACTAGTCACATAAATGATTATACACTCATATCTAATAAAAATAATACACTGTTGATTTGTTTATCATGAAAAAACTGCTGAACTGGTTCTGACAAAATCTGAAGTAATTATAATGAGCCATAAGAAGGTTTAATAAACATAAACTTCCCTGTCACCAAGTTAAAACAAAATGTCAGTCCATCAAAAACCTTCAAGTTTTGTCTGGTTTTCTTATAGAAACAGAGCTAAAACAATTTCCACCAAACTTAATATTTTTCTGCTTTAAATCCAGAATTTAATACTATTAAACTATTATCCTCAATCTTGAAACAATATGTGGGGCCTATTAAATTTTGTTTGATTTTTATTTGTAAAATATGAGATTAACAGTCTCAATTTCTGATAGGAACCTCCCATTGAATTGTTAGAATCTTCCTAGTGCTACCAGAATATGCTGTACCATATATTATGATAATATAATCTATGGATATATGGATAATATAATATAATTTATATAATGAATATGAAAACTATTCTCACCATATCACAGTTTTTGGCTTCTTGAATGTAATGAGTAGTGATGATAATAGTTTTCCCCTCAGTTGTCAGTTTTAGCAAGTAGCTCCAAATCCTAAATAAAAATCATTTCCAATCAAAGCATTCCAATTTCTTGCAAGAGATAAATCAATTTGTTGATGATAATTAACAACAGATAATCACCATTATTGAGAATGTGCTTTAGATTAGATCTCTACCTTTCTGATAGGACGCAGTCCATTCCGACTGTAGGCTCATCCAAAATCAACAAAGTCGGATCGTGGAACAAAGCCACTGCGAAAGATACTCTTCTTTTCTGACCGCCGCTGTTGTGTGCATTTCATTAGTATTAACGACAAATCATATAAATAAAAAATAATAATGGTGTTGCCATGCAGATCTATACCTTGCTACAAAAAGGTACACTGCCCAAAAATTTGAAATTTGAAGAGAGCCTTCCCTTAATTAGTCAGTGATCTTACCCACCAGCTGATAATTGGAGAAGATTGGCCCTTTTAACAGTTACCATTTTATCCTACCATCATTCGTTTTTTGAGATACTAGTACTCGTGAGGGCACTAGTCTCGCCAGTGGACCCCGAGAGTCCTTTTTGCCTACCCCTGATGGCTGCCTTAAGGTTGCCGCAGCGTACTTACTAGAGTGAAAGTGTCAAAATTCATTTTCCTGGGGCCACTGAGAAATGAAAATTAACCAACCAAGGTGGGAATCGAACCCACAATGATTAGAACTATGTACTGTGGGACCCATGCCCCAAAGTATTCGGCCATCACACGCTTTTTTTAAAAGTTAATTGATTCAAATTTCAAACTTATGGACACGGCTCATTCTGTTGCAAGGTACTGAAATGATACTTTACCTAAATGTGAAGATGGGGCGAGCGGCACACTCTGGAAGTCCTAAGAACTCTACAAGCTCATACATTCGTTTGTTTATTTTTTTCACTTCCATCCCGAAAAAATTTCCATAAAAATGAAAGGTTTCTTTCATTGTGAAATTTTCAAATAGAGCTAATTCCTAGAAGTAAACAAATAGAAAAGTACCTTAATTGAATTATTTATTTAATTAAATGTTTTGTGAAACACAAAAATAAATATTAATAATTTTAGTACATTAAAGAAAAATAATTTAATACAAATTATATTAGTAATTGTAAAACTAACAAGAATTGTCCCTGAAGTTCAACTAAGATGCATTGCTTTGAAAATTGATCGCCCTAATGGTATTTATTTCCTCCTAGCCCACCGAAGCCCTCATTAACCTCAGCACTACAAATAGAATTGGAGCATTCCCAATTTCTGTTTGATCTAGAATGCTTTATTTCATTTCCAGTTTAACAAAGGACAAAGTTCTGGAAGTAAGCAGGTGGAATTGAACAATCCGCAATCCTTGCAAAATTACCCGTCATTGTGGCAGGAGAGATTTGTTTAATTTATATCAAAAGTCATAGAGTAACATTTTAGAAAATTAAATCATTAGCCAAGTTATTTGATGAAAATTTTCCTACTGTGAAATTAAAACATTCTGGTGTAACTATTTATGACAAATGGGTCAATTAAAATAAAAAGTTAACGTAACCAGTTATTTTCTGGCCTGATGTTGGACATCTCTGCTTCTAGTAGAAGTATAGTGAAAGTGGGGTGAAAACACCCAGCCAGTGATCTTTGCAGGGGTGCCCAGAAGGGGGTTTCATAGTGCAAGTTCAACAGTTTTGAGAGACATATTTCGTAAGAATTGTGAATTTTGGGATTGAAGTTTCAAAACTAGAGACAATGGGAAAAGATAGAACAGACTGCTGTATGTGTAATTGTATATGATCTACAAGTTTTTAAATCCTACTTTCGCTTGCATTGTTTTTAAGATGAGAACAATAAAATATCTTGGGAGAGAGGAAGAGGTTTATGCACCATCAATCAGAAGAGGGGAGGAACCTTGTTTCTTTGTGAAGTATAATAAAAATACACCATTTTATGGTTAATCATATCACTTTGTCTAGAATGTTTTAAGAAAAAGTTAATGTTAATGTTTGGTTATGCACAGTTGTCTTTTGCAATCTCTTCTGTTTAGAAGTATCTTACAAAAACAACTCCAGCAGCAGCAACTTAGGCAGCAAAACTTATAAAATGAGTGGCATTACCATACTTTCTGTCCAATTCCTAACAATAATTCCTTTTATTTGACTTATATAAGTCTTGGGTTCAGTACCCTGTTAAGAGGTTTATGGCCAACCCACAGTGGGAGAAAAAGTCTAACATTTGATATTTATTTTTATTAATTTAATCTATTAAGCCAATATAAGAGGAAACGTAGAGGTGTACATGAGAAATAACTAAGTAAAATGAATATATGTATATATACACAATGAACATAATAATGAATATGATATTATTATTTGACAACAGTGGATTCAATACAAATCTGGGAAAAAATTATTTTAAAATACTTTAATATATTTTGTGTTTTTAAAATACATTGTATTTAAAAAAAAATACAAATAAAAAATACATACTCCTCATGAATTGGTGCTAAGTGAATAAATTTATGGTGTTTCCCATGATAATCATAAATGAAACTGTGTCACAGTAACACTAAAAAACACAGAACTAGACAAACAGATGAGCAACTACTGTCATTGTTTATCGTTAATATGTTTATCAGGTGATTTGAACCTGTTCTTTAGTATTCAACACGTTAAAGTTTGCACAGTCAGTCAGAATGTAGTAAATAAATAATAAATCTTAAACCTTTGATATCTGTGTAATAAATGAGTTTGAGATACATGTTAATATGAACTTTTTTGTTTATTTTGTGTTAGTGAACACATATCTAAAATAGTGACATGCAATTACGACATTGTTTATTACACACATACATAAGTGAAATTTAAAAAATCTAAGTTATCAAAATTGAAAGACTTGTGGGTTCAAAAACGACAATAAGAAGTGCTCCATAAACCATTGAAATTTCGAAAATTTTGTTTTATGCTTAATAACTCCTTTCAAAAACGATATAGCTCATACATGATTATATTTGTACATACATATTATATAGTAATAATTAACGAAAATTATTCAGAAATAATATTTAATAAATCAATAAAAAATAAATGAATAAAATATATTTCTGTACCACCAGAGATGAAGAACACCATGCCATTTCTCTATTTGTTGAGGAGAGCCACTGTTCCATAACATTGAATTAAACAAAATTGTTTCTTAGTTGCTACATCATTTAGTAACAAAATGGACATGGTGTTATTTATCTAAAGGGAACAGATTTGAACATATAATATAATATCAATTGCTTCAGGTTTAATTGGACTAAGTTTTCAGAGGTTTTTGTGTTTTCAATTATGAGTTTATCAATCATCAACACTTGTTTTGATTATGGCATAAATAGAGGGTAGATATTAACAAGAACCTTGCCAAATACTGAATTTATTCATTTAACGTATACTGAATATTAACAATAAAGGAGTAATATGTTCATAAAAAGATACATATACTAATCTTAAAATAATACTGCAAATAGATGGATGATTCACCTGAAATGACTTGAGGTCATTGCCATAAAAGATTGTAACATCAATTTACTATTGCTTTAGAAAAATCATTATATATAAAAGATAAAACTTAACTGGTAAGATCTTAAATCTGACCAAGATTATTTCTTATTCTTCATGAGGTTTTCGGTAGGAGAGTATTTTGTAAGATATCCCCTCTTCTTCCAGTAAGTGTGTATTTCTTAAAAACTACTGGAGCAATTACCGGGGGAGGGGTAGGGGGCGCTGACTTAAATGGACACCAGTGGGGACACCGCCACTGCATAAGAATTTTTAAAAAATGAATAAAAAGTGTATGACTTTCAGGAAACCAACTTAATGAAAGACATATTGAATGAATTAAAATTAAAATATTACTTTATATAAAGGCAATAACATCATCTCACCTCAATCTGCTGTGGTGCATCACACAATTTTCACTTGCCACCCTCTTCTTAGCAGAAATGAGCATTTTCACACAAAGGAAATTTCTACAATTATATTTCATTGTGGGTATTTTTATTTGTATAAGTACCCTTATATATACAAATTTTAATATTTATATCGCTGTAATCTATACAATGAAATAGCAACAATGGCATTTATGAAAACCGCATATGTATATTTATATAATATTGTCCAAGTCCGTACTATATGAAGCTCATGTTACTATGGAAACGTGTTCTAAACTTTCGGGCGAACTCGGATGCGCTGGTCTTCCTTTGGTTCCTCAATTACAACTATTCTCCGTTACGATATTTAATTTCTCCTTTAGTTAATTATCAAATTCTTTCATATTATATATTTAACTATATTTTATATTAGAGATTAATGTGAAATGGTCAATTGTTTCAAACGAAAAAAAATTAAAGGTACTTTAGGGGAAGCTGATATTGAAAATTAGCCATTTAAGTCCTGTTAAAGGACATCAATCAGAATAAAAACTAAATATTATTTAAAAATGCTAAATTATACTCTGACATGATGAATTTAATCAAAATCGCTAGAGCTGTTTTCTAGAAAATTGTAAAAATGTGTTTAGGCCATGATATAAAGTGCCACTTCTGGTTTGCCGATTTTGACGAAAAAGTTGCTGTAACATCCCTAGTATATAAAAACATTAAATATACAATTTCACTTTCGTACGACTTTTCGTTTTTGAGCTAGAGTGTCAATACACATACACACACAGACCATTTTGCGTGGACCTCAAAACGTGTATTTCTGTTGAAAACTGAGATCAGAAAATTTTCACGATCGCAATACTTTCCTTTACTATATATTTCTTATATAGGTAAGTGAAAGTAAAAAAGCGGTTTTATATCAAGTAATATTTGAATATTATTTAATTTAATATGTCTCCGATTCATTTGCTTAATTAATAGGCGGGTATTTTCCCGGATTGGCAGGCCCTGAGACAACTACACTCTCCAAGTCTCTCACTTTTCACGCTCTGCTCAATATTGATCCTCTCGGGGACAGCGTAAATGTCAACTCTCAACTCGACATGCAGCATATTTTTTTTTTTTTTTCTTGTGTCCTCCCCTTCCTCGCCGTTAAGGCTATACGGGGTTTTCCCGGGCCAGGGAGTGTGGGCGGGGATTTAAACTCCCTCGGCACCGGGACTCGATCTCGTGACTATTTTTCTATCATTAGATTCATGTCAGGTTGCCGGGCAACGGCGGTGCTGTGCACACGCTTAGCCCCTTCGGCTACCCCGCCCACCCATCGACATGGAGCTGCCTGCCTCGTTGCTTCGGCTCCATTACGCCGAGGAGCTGGTTGTTGACACCAATCTCAGGTCCGGGCATTCTCTCCCCAATGCCCTCCGCTATCACTCTCCGCTATACCAAATACTGTGACATTTTTCTGGTGACAGGGCTCCTGGCCGCCATTGCATCTTAATTGTGAGCAGAACTAACGCGTGGGGCGGTCCTCCCTGGCCGCCGAGGATTGGAAATAATAATAATAATATAATATGCCGATTTATGTTTATAATAATACTCTTTTAGGGTTATTATGAAATCTTTAATTAAGTAGTAATCAATATTAAATAATTTTGTCAAAATTAATGGGTTTTGTTTTAGCTTCATAATTTTTTTCCAAGCTCAGGCTTAGCTGGCATCTCCCATGTCCTTCTTTCTATAATTCCTAATTCTGGCGTCATGGTTGTATTATTGCTGAATGTACGTCCGTTAAACTCTAGAAAGTTCTTCCACATGGATCACCACAGAAATCCAATTAAAACTGTGGACATGACATCGTTGGGAAAAATACCTTGAAGTCCTCCAAGAACCTCCTACTTCTATTCATTTCATCAACGTGGAACGAATAGGGAGACACACAGGAGAGACCCAGGAAGAATTGAGAAATCTTCACCGGGATCGAAACTCATGGCACCGCACTAGCAGATCCAGCTGGGAAGCGGGCGTCCCCCTCCCCCCTTCTGGAAACTGGAGAAATTTCCAAAAGCAAC